AAAAACTGTACTTTTGTGTTAAAATATATATTTATAATTTTAATAAATGACAAATTAAAAAGGCATGAACATTTTTTGTATCGAAAAAATATCGAACCGTGACACCAAAGTATCGAACCGAACCGAACCGTGAATTTTGTGTATCGTTGCACCCCTAATAAACATATGTAAATGAATCCACTTTTTTTTTTTACATTAGTATTTCCTTTTGTGCATAATTTTGTATTGTTGTTAATAATAAATTAATTAAAGCACAAAACAACCTGAAGAGCCGGTTCGGAGCCGAAAGAGCCGGCTCTTTTTAGTGAGCCGAGCTGAAAGGGCCGGTTCTCTAAAAGGAGCCGGTTCTCTAAAAAGAGCCGGAAATCCCATCACTAGATGACACGGCACCCCAAAAAGTAATGAAAGACTGTCCAAACTTTCACACTCGAGTTTGATTTTGTGCCTCTCCAGTATCTCGCCAGACTCAAGAACCTTGATTTTAAAAATGAAATGCAAAAATTACATTCACTTCAATCTGAACCATGGAATATGTATTTGAGACCTTGATAAATTACTTCAGAATTAAATGAGGAAAAAGAAAAACTTATTTTGGGTGGTCGATATTTTTCACAGGGGGGTGGCACTGTGGATTAATGCACATGTTTTATCTGACAGATTCTTACAGTGGATGATAACACTCCTAGGAATTTGTGCTTCCTCCCCACCAAACTGGGGATCTTTTCCATCTCAGGTGAATTTACTACTACACTACAGATCACTTCCATTATTAAATAAATAATTGACAAATAGTGCTTTATTAATTTCATGTTTGCAGCTTAATCAAGTGACCCATCAGTAACTTAATGATGTGTTACCTAAAGTCCTCTGAAGCCACTTTGGTCTGTGGTTGAAGTAAATAAAGATGTAGTATGCAGGGATGCCAGTGAGGGAAATGGCAAATCCAATTCCTGTGTTAACAGGGTCCGAGTACAGAGACAGGAAGACCATGAAGAAACATGTGATGCAAAACACCACTGGAAAAAACAGTGGAACCTGCGAACAAATCAGCAGTGAAATTATATACTGTACACACAAAGATGGTGAAAAGTCAGGATTTTGCAGAACTGATTGAATGTTTTGTGTTTAAAATTTCAGAGGAAAATGTAAGAGCTACAGTGCTGTGAAAAAAGTATTTGTCCCCTTCACAGTTCCTTAGTATTTATGTCACAATTTCATGTTTTAAATCATGACACAAACTTTGTTATTAGACTAAGATATTCTGAGTAAATACAAAATGCAGCTCTTAAACAATGATTTTATTTATTCAGGGCAAAACCTATTTGACCCTTTGTGAAAAAGTCATTGCACTCTTTGGTAAATCATGAATTAACTGTAATTATTAACCACAATTAAATTTGAGTGAATTTTCATTACTAGACCCAGTCCTGATTTTTGTCACACCTGCTGAATCAAGAAATCACGTAATTAGAACCTGTCTGACAAAGTAAAGTAGGCTAATAGATTAGATTAGATGAAACTTTATTAATCCTTTGGGTGGGTTCCTCCGGGAAATTCAGTACTAGATGTGAAGGCCAACACATCAGAGCTAAGGAACAAACTCAGTGACACTTATCAGTCTGGGAAATGGTTTTCCACTAGTACCAACTCAGCTCGGCTCAGCTTGATTCAACATTTAGGGGTTTCCATTGGGTACTTTCTTAGTACCTGCTTGTTCCAAGAAAGCTGAGTCAATCCGAAACTGTGACTTTAGCAAACTTCATGACAGCTGTTGGCCAATCTATGGCATCACTCAATGAGTCATGAGAGCAACTCCTTCACAAAAACTTTTGAAACTAGGAAGTGGTCCCCGAGTCTGACAAAAAGCCACAGATCGAGCAACAGATATGCAATCGCCTTGACATCCTCTATTGTTGTGGTGGTTTATGTTTCATACAAATGAAAACACAGTTGCTATAGTGAATCCATGCACATTAGGTGGTACTCAGTTGTGATGGAAAACGAATGAAACGCAGTAGAGTCAATTCAAGTAGGTACTAGTGGAAAAGAGGCTAAAGTTATTTCTTAGGCTTTGAGAAAACAGTGAACCCCGGAGAGAGCCATTATGGACAAATGAAGAAAACCTGGATCAGTGGTGAACCTTGCAGGAGTAGCTGGTCTACCAAAATCTTCAAGAGTGCATTGAAGACTCATCCAGCATCACCGTAACATCTAAAGGACTGTAGGCCTCAATTCATGAATCAAAAATAAGAAAGAGACCAAGCAAAATGCTATCCATGGGAGAGTTCCAAGCTGCTGTCCAAACAAAACACAAAAGCTCATCTCAAACTTGACGAAAGTCTTTTCCCAAGATTTTGGGGAAAAGATTCTGTTGTCTGACAAGACGAAAGCTGAACCTTTTTGGAAGGTTTGAGTCCTGGTTACATCTGGTGTAACACCATTGCATACAAAGAGCATCATACTAGGGGTGGGTTTTTATAATCAATTTATCGATTAAAATCGATTCTGGCTTGGATAACGTAAAATCGATTCATTAAAATCCTGAATCGATTTTTTAATAT